AAAAAAAAAAAAAAAAAAAAGCGCCGTAATTTCTTTTAAAAAAAAAAAAAGGTGCCATTGAGCAAGTTTCTAATATCTTCATTTCGAATACTGACTGGAGCTTATCTTAAATGAGCCTGCATTCTTTAAGATTTAACAAGATCTAAAGATTAAAGAATAACAGACTGGAAAATCACTTGCCAATGAGGAAGTGATAACCACGGCCAAAATGGTGAAGTAGTGTACTAAAATAATCCATGACTTTTTTAGGGGTCTAGGGCATTCAGTTCAGTGTCTCTGCTACATCATCTCAGTAACGTCTCAGGAAATGATAATGGACACTATTTAAAATCATTCTCCACAGATCCTCTGTATTCTAAATATTTCTTATAGGAGCTTTGCAGCAGCAGCAGAACCACAAGTTACTCCTTGAAGAAAGGAGTTTGGTTCTTGTGGTGTCTTAAACAGCCGTCCTTGGGCCGCGATGATTTCTGGGGGAAGGGATGTCAAGTCTTTGGAGAACCAGGATTTCAAAGTTCACTTTGCACACAGCTCCTCGGGAATGCACAATTTCAGAAAGCAAGTGCAAATCACAGGACTTAACGCCCAGGAAGAGCAGGCTCTTTCGAGTTGGACTCAAAGTCAAGATCCAAGTGAGGATTTAAAATAATGTGATCAGGGGCGCCTGGGTGGCTCAGTCGGTTGAGTGTCCGACTTCAGCTCAGGTCACGATCTCACGGTCCGTGAGTTCGAGCCCCGCGTCGGGCTCTGGGCTGACGGCTCGGAGCCTGGAGCCTGCTTCCATTCTGTGTCTCCCTCTCTCTCTGCCCCTCCCCCGTTCATGCTCTATCTCTCTCTGTCTCAACAATAAATTAACGTAAAAAAAAAAAATTAAAAGATAAAAAATAAATAAATAAATAAAATAATGTGATCACCTAGCCCAACATCTGAGAAAAAAATATGAGTAAAGGTGGAATGAGTCACCAGGCAACTAGCCCAATGGGCAATGATGATGAATACGCAACTGAATACTAACAGAGAGCATGCTGGGCCTGGGGAGACCCCATTTTTCCCAAGCCTGCTCCGCTGCCCTGTCCTTAAGGGATCCGTTCTTCCTTTTTTAGGCTATACCACATACTTTTCAGCTGCCAGAACCACTAAGTGTCCTTGGACTGGGCCCTGCAGCTGGAAACACCACACCCCATCAGGCGGTTTGCAGGAATATGGCTGAACCAGGAGTCAAAGCTCATCTTTAAAGTTTTGATGAATGAAAGCAGACTACAGTTAGGATGTCCAAATGTGGTCTGCAAAAATGTCTGCTTTGGGGCACCTGGGTGGCTCAGTCAGTTGAGCGTCCGACTTCGGCTCAGGTCATGATTCACGGTTCGTGGGTTCGAGCCCCACATCAGGCTCTGTGCTGACAGCTCAAAGCCTGGAGCCTGCTTTGGATTCTGTCTCCCTCTGCTACTCCCCCACTCATGCTCTCTCTCTCTCTCTCAAAAATAAACATTAAAAAATGTTTTTAAAAATGTCTGCTTTCGGGGCGCCTGGGTGGCACAGTCGGTTAAGTGTCCGACTTCAGCCAGGTCACGATCTCGCAGTCCGTGAGTTCGAGCCCCGCATCAGGCTCTGGGCTGATGGCTCGGAGCCTGGAGCCTGTTTCCGATTCTGTGTCTCCCTCTCTCTCTGCCCCTCCCCCGTTCATGCTCTGTCTCTCTCTGTCCCAAAAATAAAATAAACGTTGAAAAAAAAAAAAGAAAAAAAATGTCTGCTTTGGTCTGTTTAAAATATCATGTCATATTTTTACACGAGAGGAGAGAGAAGGTTGAGTAGCAGCTGGCTGCTCCCTTTTCAGACTGACACTTCACTCACCTACTGACCTCCAGAAGTCCAATTCCTTTTCTGAGTCTGCTCTAAGGAAGCCGGGGGAACCACAAGTTCAGGGAGAACTAAACGCCTCTGGCAACTGCAGTCAGCTGGGTAACTCTGTTTTCAGCTTGCACGTGTGCGCTGGGTTCTCTCCAAAATCGACAATAAACTGCAAAACCAGCTCCGACAAAAAGGGCCCGTCTCCGTAAAGGTGAGGAAAGATCTCTCAAGGCTGTGAAACTAATTATACCTAAGGGGAAAGCAGCGACCGGGGCTCACCTGCTGCTAGCTCAACGATCTGAATTAATTAAGAATTTGAAACGCTGTCCCAGAGCTGCTTTCGCCTTAATGATGTTAAACGAAGTTAGTTCCTCCTCCCTCGGGGTGACTTTCTCTTCGGTAATTAGACACAGGTTCCTGGACTGCGAAGAGGGCTCTTAACAGGGCCATCTGGCTTTTAAGTGAATAGAATTAAGTATCTCCTCCCTCCCGCTTACGAAGTTTCTGAGAGGACGTGGCGGGGAATCTAATAGGGGGTTTCTCCCCCTCAACATTAATCAAGGGGAGCCGGATTCCCCCACCCCCTCACCTTGATTTCCTCGGAGTGGAAGAGGTCGGCGTCCTCGGGGCTGTCCATCAAGATCTTGGGCCTGTCCCCGTCCTTGGCGCCCCCGGAGCTGTCCCTCCGCGGCGTCTTGTGGCCACCCTGCCGCTCCAGCGCGGCCCGCTCGCTGCTCGTGTTGCCCATGGCGGGGGTCTGCGGGGACACCGGGAAGCCGGACGCGGCCTCACTCCAGGGAAGGGGCAGGAGACTCCCGCAACTAACGGGTCACAAGGACCCTGGGGAAACAGTCGGAGCCCCGAGTACCACACCGCTCGGGAGAGGGCTCCGGGCCGGTAACCGGTTTGAGGCGTGCGGGACGGACTGGCCGTTTCACAAGCCCGCGTTACTCAGGAAGCCCGAAAATAAACTCGACACTTTCCCAACAACTCCCCCACCTCCTGGTAACTTCCGCTTCCGGCGCGTCTGAGAGTCAGTCGCGATAGGGGGTGGGGGCGGGAGCAGCGGGCGAAGCGCCTTAGGCTAACTCGACCTCACTTCCGCTTCCGGTATGGATCTGCGCGGCAGCCACACCCAAAGGAGTCTCCAGGGGCCTCGGGGCGCGCAGTCGCAGTGAGCTGCTGCGGCCGGAGTCAGGACCAGACTGCGGAAGGCCTGCAGGGGGCGTGCCAGCGCGAGGGCGGTCTGGGCCGCTTTCCCTGCTCTGGAATGAGTGATGCCATTAGCTATTTTAGATATCTTTACCCACTTCCTGTTGATCCTGCACTCGACAGCCAAAGAGATCATTTAAAGTGTTAATCTAATTAAGAGACTCATACTATTAAAGCTGGTTAATGCTCTAGCTCACACGCATTTTGTGTGCCTTAGAAGCACTGCCTGAATAAAATGCAGATTCCCCGGTCCTATTCCCTGGAAATTATGATTCCGAAGTAGGCTCTGGAGTAGAGTCTGCATTTTAATATGAACTCCAGGTGATTTTGATGCAAGTAGTCTTGCAGGTGTTTGAGAAAATGACAGACCATAAGATCTCAGGAAATTTCTCAAGACAAGTAGGTTTGGGCGTTATAAAATGCTAGTCACTAGTGTATTTTTTAAAAAATTGCACAGCCTTTTGATAGATAATTTTGTAAGATCTTTTATAATCACTTTGGACACATCATTCTGCATAAAATTAATTTATTAACGATTGTCACATCGTGGCCAGTGCTTTAGCAAAAGTGTATACACTTGTGGTCCTAAAATATTCTAATCTATCGGTCACTGTCATGGTTTTTTTTGGTGGTGGTGAGGTTTTTTGTTTTTGTATTTTGTTTCGCATGTGATTATCTCAAAATGCTTTGCATTTGCTGGGCCAGGTCATGCATTTTGTCTACTGAACAAACATTTATTTGATACCTACAAAGTGCCAGGCATTGTGCTAAGTAAATAGTAGGCAGATGACTAACAAATAAATGGTCTCCTGGGAGATTCGACAGTATCCATCAAAATAAAAAATGTACCTTCATCTTAGTGCACAATTTTACTTCCAGGGAACTTCTGTAGAAATATACACATGCAAATTATATGGAAGCATGTCCATCTGCCACAGGGTCTCTAATGCCATATTACATTAATTCTAAGATGCACATGTTTTTTAAGGATGCGCATTTTATTTCACATTTTAATCTCTGAAACTGGGTGTTCCTTACAATCAATGGAATGTTAGATTTGATGAAATAAGGAAATAAAAAACTGCAAAATTTGAAAAGGTGTGGCAATAGAATGACAAAATGAATTTTTAAAATTCATTTTATAGAATAATGAGCCACTTTAAAAAAGGAGGAAATAGGGGCGCCTGGGTGGCTCAGTCGGTTAAGCGTCCGACTTTGGCTCAGGTCATGATCTCACAGTCCGTGAGTTGGAGCCCTGCATTGGGCTCTGTGCTGACAGCTCAGAGCCTGGAGCCTGCTTCACATTCTGTGTCTCCCTCTCTCTCTGCCCCTTCCCTGCTCATGCTCTGTCTCTCTTTGTCTCAAAAATAAATAAACATTAAAAAAAATGTTTTTTAAATTAAAAAAATAAAAATAAAAAAGGAGGAAATAGAATTCTGTGGGTAAATATGGAGAAGTGTCTATGACATTCCAAATCCCAAAGCAAGTGGCAGAACAATAGAGGTTAAGAGCATGAGCCCTGAAGTTAGCCTGGGTTTAAATTCTGGCTTTACCACTTTGTAACTGCCACCTTGGTTTCCTCTTTTGTGAAATAGGAAATTAAATAACACCGACCTTATAGGCTTGTTTTGTGAATTAATTGAGAACATGCACAGAAAGTGCTTAGCATAGCACCTGACTCAGTAAACATTCAACAAACGTTAGCACTTTTATTGGCATCATTATTCTTGTGAATGGAAAGTTCTGGAAATATATACAACACAATGTTAATAGTGGTCCCACCTGGGGAGAGGAGTGGGTTTGGAAACAGGAGCAGATCGAAAGGGGACTTTCTCTTTTTCAATTATTGTTTGAAATTTTTCTCCTGTGAGGATGTACTACTTTTGTATTTTAAAAACAGATTTTATAAGACAAAAATAAGCCATGATTCCAGCTCCAAAGGAATCCACAGAGTAAAGGTGGAAACAGACTCCCGGAAAGGCAATAATTCGGGTAGGCAAAAGGGTTCTACTGGCCCAGAAGGGACTTAAGCCAGGCCAGAGGATAACCCAGAATGCATTCTTTGAGCTTTCTTGCTCACACTAGGCAGTGAGGAGGGCCATGGACATGAGGACAGTGAGCTCATGAACACGTAAGCTGTGGACCCTTTATCTGGCTATGCAGGTGCTGTTATGCATGAAGAAAGTTTCAAGACTGCTGCTCTGGCTCAGATAAGATAACCCAGTGAAAGCATGGGTCCCAGATCTCCCCGGTCCCCATTTTATTTTCGTGCAAACTCAGAAGAAAGGCCATGGGAGGCCATCTGCAAACCAGGAAGCGAGCTCTCACCAGAACTCGAATCCTGCCAGAACCTTGATCTTGGACTTTCCAGTTTCCAGAACTCTGGGAAAGTAAATTTCTGTTGTTTAAGCCATTCATTCTGTGGCTTTTTTTTTTTTTTTTTTTTTTTTTTTTTTTTTTAATAGCAGCCTTATCTAAGACAGACTGCAGTGTGTGTGAGCTGTTGAGATAGAGTTGTAAGCTGGCCTACCTGGATTTCCACCAGACCTTCTGAAATTCACCTCACCGATGTAAATAACACAATGTTGGCAGACTTGTCTGTCTTTTCTTGGTAGATGACCCCATGTTCTCTCTCCACCGAGATACAACTGTCATTGTGACAGAGAGATAGTCATTGGCTCAGAAGTAAAATGAGCTCATTCCATGGTATTTGGTCCACAAGTATTTGTGTAGAGCCAATTTATGCCAGGCTTTGTTTTAGGTGCTGTGGATAAAGGAATAACAGGAAAAGGAGTGTTAATCCTTTTGCAAAGCTGAAGGGCCCTGTGTAGCAATAGATACATAATCGAATATGCAAACATACATAAGCTGGATAATTTCAGAGTGATTACTACTATGTAGGAAACAAATGAAATTACGTGAGAGAGAGACTGGGTACTACTTTAGATAAGGTGGTCATGGAGGACCTCCCTGAGGATGTCACAGTTGAGCTGAGACCTTACTGACAAGAGTCAGATGAGAAAATAGTTTGGGAAGAGTGTTTCAGGCAGAGGGACAATGCAAGTGCAAAGGCCCTGAGGTGGGTATGAGTTTTTCATGCCGCAGAAACATAGAGGTGATTTGGGAGTGTATTGGAAAGCCGGAGGAAAGGCTTGATCCTTTTGGGGCTTGATAGTCACAGTGGAACTTTCTGGATTTTATTCAAAGTCAGTGGGAATTCATGGGAGGGTTTGGGTATGGGAGTAATGTTATCTTATCCACATAATGATTGATATACATTTTATAATATCATAGAATTTAGGGGTAGGGCTGAATTTTAGAAATCAACTGATTATAAAAATACAGAATTGTAAATTTTATAACTGTAGACTTCCAGGGAAGAGACATTAACTGGCAGACAGTCTCATTTTGTGACTTGTGATATATCTGGCAAAATTCTATTTCTTGACCTGGGTAGTGGTTATTAAAGCATTTGCCTTATAATAATTCACTAAGCCACACTTTTGTGTGGTTTCCTGTATCTTTGTTTTATTTTCAATAAAAAAATATTTTTAAAGAAATAGCTTCCCTTACAGAGTAAACTGAGACCTCAAGGTGAGAAGCGCCCAGCTCAAGGTATCACATCTGTTTTTTTTTTTTTTTAATGTTTATTCATTTTTTGAGAGAGAGAGACAGAGCATGAGTAGGGGAGAGGTAGAGAGAGAGGGAGGGGCAGAGAGAGAGAGACAGACAGACAGACAATCTGAAACAGGCTCCAGTCTCTGAGCTGTCAGCACAGAGCCTGACACAGGGCTCAAACCCACAAATGGCGAGATCATGACCTGAGCTGAAGTCGGCCCCTTAACCCAGCCACCCAGTCACCCTGGTAACACATCTGTCTTAATAAAGTTCACTCCAAATCTACTCTCTATCAAGAAGCTTTGAAGGAATGGAGGAGAAAAGGATGTATATCTCTTCCCTTTCCCAAGAAGATGACTGACAAACTAAAGCAGTTTTCATGCATAGATTCACCTAAAGTGAAAAAAATAAAAAGAAATCTGTATTTGTCTCATTAAAACGTGAGCTCCTAGGGATCTGAGGATGAGTTCGATAAGCCCTCTAACATGCCTTGTTGATGACCCCTGCGTCCCATCTGCAATCTGCGTGCATCCTTCTGTGTATGCCCAAAGTTTCCTACTGTAAGCACATGTGACTCTATCTGAGGGCCTTCTAGAGCATTCTTGGCATGCACATGGGGGAGGCCAGAGGGGCCACACAGTGGATAGTTTGTGAGCGGTCCTCAGCAGTGACAGACAGTAGTTTGTGGATAGATATTGCAGCTCCTTGGCCAGTGGGTGGAACATTTCTAAGATATGTTCCATACTGTGTCCACTACAGAGGTCCCCAGTGGAACTGAACCAATTTATGCCCAACACAGTTAACTTGATCATAAAGGTACACTAAATTTGTTGGCTTCCTTCCTCTCTTTCTTTTGTCACTTCTCAGGATCATCTCCTAAATAAACACTCGGAATCACCTTCCAAATAAATTACTTGCACAAAAATCCTGGTTGAACCTCTTGGGTTACAGCAGAGGAGGCAAAATGGCTTGCTGAATTATACAAGTTCATGGCTGACAGGACACTGCTATTTCAGTCTTCATGATCTGACATACCATGCGGGCTTAAAGAAAAAACAAAAACAGGATTGGAGAGCACCCTTCACAACAGCCAAA